GAAACTACTATATAGTATATAGGGGAACTTAATAGGTATTATAGTAGGGATCCTAATGTCAAGGCCCTTAAAAAAAGGGGTGGTTTATTAATCAGGGTCTACATTCCTGTTGATATTATGAATCCGGCATGACCTTAGTAATTATGCTGGAACATGATTCCGAAACCAGAAGTTATTTATGCAACTTTTCTTAGTATCAACCCTACCACGCCCTGTATAATCCCAGTTTCCATCTCTTCGTCACTTCCTTTCCATTTGACTCTCCGTTAATGGGTGGTAAGTTCCCTTTATAGTCTTTCTAACCTGTTGAGATGAACATGCTAAACTGCAATATGAACCAATTACCAAGGTATGGATGAGGGCTTCAGGAAATTTCTAGATGATTTATGGGGAGGGATGTTTTACGTCATTATCCCAGCAGGGAGCTTAGGTAGGGGTTTAAGGTGTTACATGTGGATTTAACTACTGACTTGTAATGTTTTCGCGGGAATGTTGAAGGGCAACATGGCCAAGTTGATTGCAGTAGATGTCCTCCTAAGATCACTGGTTTGGAAATCTGCCCCCTGAACCTTAAACTTAAAGGCCTAACCTGCATTCCAGGTCTTGTCGTGGCGAATAAGAGTTCTAGAAGCCCGTAATGCGGTAGGGTTCCACTTTCTTTTCCAGTTCTTCATCCCCACAAGTCTGAGCTGGCTGTAAGGAAGTTCTGACCGACTGCATCGCTTATTGCGCCTGGCCATGCATTTCTGGGTTCTCGAGCAAGCCCTTTGACACTTGTTGGCTCCTAGGTTCATTCTAAAATTCAGCTCATACCAAGAAAGCGCGCCAGTTTGAGTCCTAGGCAACTGGGGAACGCGGACTTACAGATCTGGAGTCAACAAGCTTTAAGCTTGCTTGTTTGATCTAAGCCGTAAACCCTACAACCTAAGCCTCAGAACCGAAAAAGCCTGAGTGCTGCCTATGAGCTAGGGGATTCGGCCTGCCTTGTGAAAGGCAGGACTGAGTGATTATTGGATACTATTCTGAACTTCCGTTACATTAAAGCCATCGATAGGTAATGCAATGTTTTTCTCAAAGCCCCCAAAGTGTGTAGAATGATTGTCCTTCGAGCTGTTTTTTTTCCCATTGTCTTGCTTACTTTGGTGGTTAAGGTTTCGTTACATAGTAGCCCATTAAAGAACCAGATATTAGGCTCAAACCTTCAATGGGCCGAAGACTTGGGGTTTTGGGATCAGGGTTTTGGGGAGCTAGGGTTGAGGGTGGGGGTTTCCCAAAATTAGGGGTACCATTTTGGGGGTCCCAAGAATAATAAGGACTATAGTATTTTGGGGTCTATATTGGGGTCCCTTTTTTGGGGGAAATTACCAGGGTTTGGGGTTGCGGGTTTTGGAGCGTTAGGGTTTTTGGTTTGGGGTTGACTGGTTTGAGGTTAGGGTTTGGGGGTTAGGGTTCTGAAGAATGAGGAGAGAGCTAGGTGATGGCGTGGAAAACTACCGTGTGTTTATGTAAAAGCTTAAACGCTTGTCGAACTGGTTTCTTGGGACCGTAAGGTGCATGCAGGGGCTGTAAGGCGATTTGAAGGGCCCAGTGCCGTGATTGCAGAGGGATGGTTTTGAGTGACATTTGTGTGACATGCCGCACTATAGTCCCCCTTAAGTAGATAGAATATTGCTTTGGGTATATTATAATGAGATCCCCATATACCCCATATTCTATCTACTTAAGGGGGACTATAAGCCTACAAAGCAACCCTGAGCCAAAAAATTGTCCCCGAACCTCAACCTATGTGGGAGGGTCCAAGAATTGGTCCTTTCTGCAGGGCCCCTGTTATGAGGATTACAGTATATTGGGATCTCTATTTGGGTCCCGCCTGCTTGCGTGAATCCTAAGTATGTCAGACTTACTAGCTTTCTGCTTTGGTTCACCTCTAAAGCCTAACCGAATATCCCAGTCCTGAGCCCAGAAACTGTTCGTGAAGCCCTAAGGCCGAAATCTTGTGATTGCTAGTACCTTCAGTTTGTATTCCTTTTACGGTGCTAACTGTTACTATTGTTTCAAGTCATCTTATTTTCATGTGTTATTCTTACGATTACTATCAGCATATATTGTTGGTCTTACTATTGCTGACATCGATTATGATCGCTAGTTAGACCCTCCCTGTCAAATTAAACACCACTCCGCCCCATGACATTAAAATTTCCTTGTAGTCGCCCAATACATCGGCAGCAGAAGGATTGTCAGGAGGCGGGGGTAAACCTTAATTGAACTGTAGCCATAACAGTGCGTTAGCGGAGTGGCTTACCAATACTGGTACCAGCAGTCCTTCAGCTTGTAGACCGGAGCACCAAGCTATGAAGGTGTCCTTGCTGTTGACCTCTGAAGGCTCAGGTGACTTGGTAAGTAGTAGGCTATTAACGGGGCTATAAGCTCCCTCATTGGGGCTAGTCCGTTTTGCACCCCTTTCCATAACCCACTTACCAAGTCCCCTGAGCCTTCAAGTATCTTCAAGTCTTAAAAGAACTCAGTATACTCAAATACCATATTTCCACAAATGTAAGGTTTTGAGGTTACGCAGGATTTTTAGCATCAACCAAAGACCCCATGACTAACCCCTGCATATCCCTATAGCCCCTTGGAAGTACTTGGGTTCTGCAGGATTTTTCATACTCACCGTTCCTTACCTGAGGCGACGAGTCACTCCTCACCGGCGAGTCAGCGCCTGTCAAGAAGGTCCAGGGTAGCCAAGTCATAGGCCTGGAGGGTTTAAGGCAACGGGTTTAGGGTTTAGGGTTAATACGGGGTGTCCGAAAAGTGGGGGTTCCATTTTAGGGGTCCCCACAATAAGGAGTAACGTATTTTGTGTTTGTACTATCCACTTGTTTTGGCGGATCTGATTTGGGTCAGAGTTCCTGTCTAAGTTTCACTATGCTAAGCCCAATTATTCATGATATTGAGTACTACTCCAAGGAACCAGGGTTTGGGCTTAAATCTGGGACTAAGTTGAAGAGGATATATCTGTGACTAAGTTGAAGAGGATATTTCTAGGGAAACTACCAGATATTCCCCCGCCCAATCAATGGCGCCCACGTTTCTTACCGGGGATCGGGGAGTTGTTTTGTTGATTTCGGGAGTTTATTTTCAGACTGGG